GATATTAATGGATGGGCAGGGTCTGGGATGGAGACTGGGTGCAGAATAGAGCTTCAGGTACAAGAGTTTGTGTGGGATCTGAAAGGGAGTTTGGGTGAAGGAGGGGGAGTAGGCAGTGCAAGGTTTGGGTTGTGACCTGGAGCAAGGGATTGGGATGCAGGAGAGGATTCTGACCTGGAGCAGGGGTACAGGATTTGGGATGTGACTGGGGTAAAATTGGGGTGCATGAGGAGTGGCTGGGCTGCCAGAGGAAGGCTTTGGCCTGGAATCACTTACATGGGCAGCAGGTTCCTCAGCCTGTGTCCCTGAATCCTGCTCAGAGCAACTATGGGGGCCATGTGTGGCTCTGAACACTGTGAGCCTAGAGGGGTACTTTGTGCACCGCTGGTCTTGCAAACAGGAAGCTCTGATTGGCCAGTTTGCAGGCAGTGGGAGCTGCAAGATGGGCCAGGCAGCACAGAAAGCCTCTCCTCTCCTTCCCTTCAAGTGTGCAGTGTTCAGAGATGCACACACAGTTCCCTGTGGGGATAAGGTAGGCAGGGAGTCTGGTTAAGGTTCTGCTGCACCTGCAGGCCAATTTTGCCCATCCAGTATAACACATTTTTATTCTGCTGCTCTCAAAGTACATCATTACATTTTTACTTTAGCTCCTTTATCTTGTTCAGAAATGTTTAGGGCAGCAAAACTGCCTCACTTGATCAATATTCCTTGTGCACAGAATCTGACATTGTCTGGCTCTGAGCTTGCTGTGGAAGGTGAGTTCTGAACACGGATGGTGCCTCTAATGCTCCTTCCAATGAAGTGTATGACTCCCTTGTGCTGTAAAGCCTATTAGAAGACCCCTGAGACTTTTAGAAAGCTTATCAAATGAGACTAGGCTCTAGGTTACAGAATGTTGCCTCAGAGGAATCTAAATGTCCTATGGTGGTCAAGTAATTTGAGTATCAAATGCATAACAAATTGCATTACTATCAAGAGCTTTGCTGTTTTGCATTCCTATTTAGCACTTCCGAGCTCTGACCTCATGTACACAGGAAACACAGGCCTCTGGTGGGCTCACCACGTGGCTATACCAACTCCAGAGATAGGTACATAGGGATATACTTGGAAAAAAAAGCAAAGCCTGCACTCTATTGTGAAATTGTACCTCAACTTAGACGTCAATTCTGTTTCAGCAGTGCAACAGGCCTATCGCTGACCTATCGGTGCTCTTTCAGTGGGAGGGTGGATAACAGCAGCTTTTGGTGGAGCTTAAGATTGTATGAGGACTTCTGAGCCCTGCTGTGCTGGAGGAATGAAGGTAGCTAGTAACTTTCTTCCACATTCCAGACTTGGACAAATTAGAGGATAGAGGGAGCTGAAATCCTTTTGTAAGTCAGTGATGAGTGCTGCTTTAGAGCACCAGTGGAAGAAAGGCTTTAAGAGCTAGGTTCTATCTGTCGTCTCTGCTTCTACTGAAATAGTGGAAATGTGCATTTACACTTCCCTGTTATATAGATTCCTTGAACTACATGTTAAAGATGCGGTTGTAAACTTAACTTACATTCAGCAAGGATCAGTTTAAATGTAGGACTGATATAATCAATGGGTTTCAGACCACTTTAAAACTAGCTTGTGGATATGCATTCTATATACTGTAAAGAGTGTTACTTTGAGTGGGCAATAATTTTCACCCGGGGGGGAGGGGGAGAGAAGAGAGAGGGAAGGAGCACACCGCATTTGTGGTAAGTCATCACAGGCAGGTGGGAGTGGAGGAAGAGTGCTCAAGTCAGGGTGTTCCCCATCCAGAAGGGGCAGGGCTGGGGCTAAAGAGTGTGAGAGAGACTGACGGGTGCACAGTCTGGGACAGTGTGTGACAGTGACATTGTGTGGTGGTTGTTGGGTAAACGTGAGAGCCCATGCATTGTCTCCCCCAGCTCCACTCCACAGAGAAGATGTATGGAGGGGGGGAAGTATCTTAGAAACAGTGCACTGCCTCGTAAGACAGACACTGATCTCAGTCAGCCTCTCTCCAACTGCTGCTCTACAGAGATGAGGAACACCCTGACCTAAGCACTCCCTTCCTCTTCTCTCTCCACTATGCGCAGGAAGGTCCTGGGAGCAGCTTGGCTGCAGGATGGAGCAAAGTGTGGGGGGAAGGGCAGCTGAACACGCACTGCCAATTGTATGAATGCTCTAGTAATCAACCAGGCATGTCAGTTCTAGCCCTGCAACTGTATTTTGTCCAATCTGTCCAAATTCATAAGATCATTAAATATGGATCTTAGACAAAAGCTCAACACAGTTTGGTCCATCTATCATTCTAGACAACCCCCTCTAATGAACATTTTCAATCTTCTACAGTGAGAGTATGTCCCAGTTGTACAATAGTTATATTAGGATTACAATTAATGTTACAAATGTTTCTGATCTCAGTATATATTGGGGAATATATGTCTATCCTAAAAAGTCACCCCCTTAACTGCCATTAGGTCTCATTTGTTTTTGGCAGTCTCAGCAGGA